ATTCAGCTAGCGTTGGGATTAGGGTGAAGGTGTTGAGTGCCCTAAGGGTACGGAAATATTTGTCCTTCCTGGTATCTTACGTAGGGCCTCCTCTATTTCCAGTGAGGTTCCTGTTTCTAGGCTTAAGATGTACCACTCCTTATTTGTGGCCTCCGAAGCCGTTTCTTAATGGATTTTGACGGTCCGAAGGAACAAGCTGAACGAGACAGCGTCTTACACTTTGCGGTAAAGGTAACTTTGTGGCCGCCTTAACAGGACACTGAAAGAGGGCACTTGAAATAAGTGGCCTTGCGATGCATTTCAGGGCTAGGGGGGGTAAATATTTATATGCCTTAACCATAACAACAAAACTAAACCGTAACCATAATCTTAACTTTAAACCTCTCCTAAACCCCGCCAGTTAATACGAACCCAAACCCTAACCATTAATTTACTCCTTACCCTAATCTCAACTCTGCGCTTAACTCAACCCTATCCCTCGTCTTAATCCTAAGCCTAGTTTATGCGAAAGTTTGAGCAAAGCCACTTGCATTGTGGACGACTCCTGGTTCCGTATCCTGATTAGGCGGCCGTAAAAGACATCCCCACCAAGTTCCCGGCTATAGCTTCCCTTGGGTGTTTTCTGCATCGTGCGTTCATCCCCTGTGCGCACAGCTTGTTCGGCCCAGCTATGCTACATTCTCCTTTCAGCCGGTCTAGTGTACAGTCATATCATTATCCCCCTCCCCTCCCCCTGCAAACATTTCTGCTAGTTACAAAGCAAATTAGTCTGCTGCCTCCCCCGCCCCCTTCTCCCCTCTGGGCTCTTCTAACCCCAGCTAACTTGACGGCAATCCGGCTGCCCTGAAATGGCCATGACCCAAAGTTAATTAGTCCACGCCTTGGACAAAAGATGACGCGAGATATCTGCTCACAGCTACTGGTCCGTCGCGAAAGCATGTTTCAAACTCCCAGTCTACTTAAAATGTTCTAAGCTGCCTGCGCCCAGCGAGCTAGTTCCGCTAACTTATATTTTCCAGCCGGATAATTGCGTAGGGCTGGTGATGTTTTACTGGAGAAAAAAAACTGACGTCTAGCGAACTGATGTGATGGGCGAACGGTGCTGTGTCCTTTCTAGCCCAGCAATTTGGGAAGTTTTTTGAATGTTAAAATTTGTTGCTACCGTTCCTGAGTCTTACGCTCGCGTTACATCGTGAAAAGTGTAACGTGAAAAGTCGTAGGACCCTAGTGGTGGTTGTTGTTGTTGTTGCAGGATCAATTGCAAGGTAAGTGGCTTTAG